GTTTCCGCCAGGGAGTAAAAGAAAACGCATAATCAGAATTCCGACTTAAAATCTCAGAATTCCGACTTTTTGAATCGCAATTGCGACTTAAAAGCTCAGAATGACGAATTAAAAACTCAGAATGACGACTTTATATCTCAGAATTGTGTCTTAAAAACTCAGAATTACGACTTTATATCTCAGAATTGTGTCTTAAAAACTCAGAATTACGACTTTATATCTCAGAATTGCGTCTTAAAAACTCAGAATTACGAATTTGTATCTCACATTTCATTGTCCTTTTGTTATTGTAACGGATTCGGGTTCTAGGGCTTGTGCCCTCGCCGCTCTCACCCTAGTTCGCGCCTCACTGCATGGGCTCGAACCCAGGTCTTGCCCGCTGAGCCAAAGACCTTCTTTAGCCCTGCCAGCCAACATCCCTGTTATGCGCAGGGGAGGGCAGTGCTGTCACCGCACTGCAACCAGTTCGTACAACACTATAGTCACACTATATTCATAAATCGTACAGGATCATAGGATCCATAGGCCTAAAGACTTGTCTTGTACAGTGCCCTGATAAGAATCAATTACACTAGTTTTTATGGGATCCCATTTCCGTCAGGGAGACGTCCATAGTACCCGGATAGAATAGTGGACGATGGGCTTTTTTTAAAAAAGTTTTTATTTAAACACCAGAAATACAAAAAAGGAGACAGAATATGAAAAAAGATACAGAAATAGACACTTCACATCCAGAGGAATTCACAATTAAAAAAGCTGAAACTTGTACATTTTACATATTTCCATTGTATGTCTGGCCTCCATTGTACTGTATGATTCTTTACATTTCTAATAGAATTTAAGTAAAAAAGGAAAGGAATACTTTAAAAGCATTAATAGAGGGAGCAGTATTAGACCATTTACTTTTGTGGATGAAGTATTTTGCCAACATAATTAACAGATTAATAATAAGAACATATCCTTTATCCAAATCAGATCTAAAGATAAAGATATTAAATATCAAAATCTTTAAATTTAACATTTACCTTTAAATGTTTAACAACAACATTTTGGGAAATCTATCCGAAACAATTTTGGTACAATTCCTTTTTTACTTAAAAAAGATCTTCTTTGGCTCAGCTGGCAAGACCTGGGTTCGAGCCCATACAGTGAGGCACGAACTAGGGTGGGAGCGGCGAGGGCACAAGCCCTAGAACCCGAATCCGTAACAAAACGAAAGGACAATGAAATGTGGGCCATTTCAAAGTCGCAAGTGTGAAATAAAAAGTCGCAATTGCGAGATATAAAGTCGTAATTCTGAGTTTTTAAGTCGCAATTCTGAGATACAGTATGAAGTCGCACCTGCGAGATACCATAGCGCGTTTTTTTTTTACTCCCTGGTGGAAACTGGTTTCCATAGCCTACACTACGAGACTGACTGCAATCCGAGTGCTCTCTTTGACCCTTCACCTACTGTATAACAAACACCCTGGAACAAAGGTGAGCGTGAAACGGCTTTTGACCACATTCTCGTTAGGGAAAGTACAAAATAACAAGCGCGATAGGACTGCCATTTTAATTTACACCGATATGATGTGTGATTCCTGCTGTCGAATTTTTTTATCTATATACTTTGTAAAAACCAATTTTAAACCAGTCGCAAAAACCCTCAAATGACTGTTGTGAAACAAGTGCTGAAATAAGATGTTGTTAAAATAACACAGTCAGGAAGAAGTATTAAATACTGTGCATGTCTTCGTGAACTGCTTACAGATGTAAATCACACCTGTTAAGTGTGGTGATTCTATATAGCGATTAAGATATATTATAGTTTATTTTTTAAACATAATTTAAAGTAATTCACACTGTACGTCTTTCTGGATTAATTCAATACCACATCAGAAAGAGCATTTCAGACATTAAAAAGAGTTCCGTTTTCAGGCATACAGGTAGGAGGTTATTGAATCCGTCTCTTTTGAAAAACACGATTAAAAAGAGTTAGGAGTATGCTACAGACTGCTGAATTCAGATATGCGCTGTATATTAAAATTCAGAACATGTGAGTAAAGGAAAAAAGTGGTTTGAAATCTTACAGTAAACTTTCCTCATATACTGAAATGGTAGACATGGTGTCACGACCGCCAGCCAGCGGAGACCAATTTAAGCGACCAACTCTATAGCGATCTAATCAGTACCAGCAGCGGGTTATTATTAACAAGCGCCGCCGCAGGCTTTAACACAACTGCAAATGCTCTACCGTGCTGCACGCGTGTTATTTATACCATCCGAACCCGCTTCCCGAT